CATCGTACATGTTCATTCAACATGCTTAGTTTAGCCGAGCTTGTTTGCAGTCTCTTTGAACATACAGCCTTTTGAGGATTGCGGGATATCCTTAGCTGTTCGTGACAGAACAGGAGCATACTAGTTGTTCTGCTAGGAAATAAACGAGGTATAGCGACGATATCCTGGGCTTCAGAGTCCATTGTCGCCAGCACACATCTGGACTTTTGCGTAAGGTGATTAGCATCGGGGTTAGTGCAGAGAAGCAAGGACTGGACTTGGGCGTCAGGTTCACTTTTACGGTTGATAAGCCACAAACAAAGCTGTAGCCATTGGTAGAATGCTTCTGTTGAATGGGAGCTCAGTAATATTAGTACTTCCCATATTCCCGCCGCCCAAGTGGAGGTTTACTCTCTGAGTTGACTAAGATGAATGCCGTCGCTTTCATTTTGTGTCTGGGAAAGACTTACTTAGTACAACTAGAAGATTGTAGATGCTTGAGCCGAGCACCAAGTTATAAATAGCAAGCTCCTGAGCTTCTCAAATGTTATAGATAAAGAAGGATCCCGAAGGTGTCTAATTGCGCATTCACGCCCATAACTTCCTATTCTCCCATTCGGATATTTGAGTATGTCGGAGTATACGGAGCTGTGCATCAGAATGACAGCAGCAAGAGCATGCAATCAATGCTTCTATCCCGCGTGTAATAGAAAAGTTTGCAGCAAGGGGACTGGAAAAATGCGCTGTACAAGTACATGCAACGTACAGCCGGCGATATTCATCAGACAGGCAGGATGGAGAATTTAGATTGAATAATGTTCGGAGTTTTACCATGACAGATGAAGGGAGTGCTTCGAGTTACAAGCGTGGGGCTCTGAAACCATGCCTGCCATTGTTATGGGAGGTACTATAAAACATTCATGCAATGACGGTGCTGCTTGGAAGTCCAAAGACAGTGGTGCTGGGCTTGCACGGATGGCTTTTCTAATGGTAGGCAGCTGCACCTAGTGGATTCTGGATTCGGACGTGCTTTGGCAGCGTGTTACACCTGCTCGAGTCATAAAAAGTACTAGTGGCGTGATGAAAGCTCAACGGGATGTTTCTTCAGGAAGCTATAGAAAACGTGGGTTTCAGAAAGTATCATCTCACGTTACCACAAGCACAATTATGGTACAGTGCTATTTAGAGTAAATTAATACGAGGGATGACTGACGCCACTACTGAAAGACAGCCATGACCCTTAATTCTTGTTGCAAGCGGCCTGGGTCCAGGATACTGAGCCATGGTATGAATGCGAAGTTTGCATAAGAGTATTCTCTCTATGATAATGCCTTGTGGTGTGACTTCAGGGTACGTCGGATCAAGGTATCGGTACACTTCCCTCCATCATAGACGGCCTGGTAGTTGATTTAGGCAATGTGTTTCTGAAACCATTGAAAGGGCTGTTGGTCATATGCATTGAATGCCCCCACATAGATAACAACAGTCTTATGATTGAGAGGACTCCCATGCTTCACTGTCTTCTACTGTGTCATCAACTGATCACAGTGGATGTACCCAATGATCATCCCCGAAGGCTAATTCCAAAGGCCTTCACGAGACACTGTACAGGACTCTATATCTACAGTATACCGTTGGGTTCGTCAAGGTACAGGCTGCACTATAGGGTACATCATATGAAGCGATCGCATCATCCAGATACGCCCCACGAATATAGATTTGCATAATCATTAGGGCTTTTCGAACAGGACTGTACAGTGATATAACGATTGATGATGACTGAGCATAGTCTTGCTGGGTAGCGAGTATTCTCATAGTTTCTGCCTAAGATGCGTGCGGCAGCTCACATGTACATAAACGGGAGAGGTATCGCCTTGAGTAACTGATTTGTCGAGTTGTGATACATGGCATACTTGAGTATCACTTGTGAGGACACTTCGATGGCTTTCTAAAGCACCGAGTCTCATTTGTGTGCTGACAAGAGCACACAAGAGGGAAATCTACAACATATTGATTCCTATCAACTACCTTCTTGGGGGACCCACCATTACTACTATGTAATAGAAGCAGGAAGCGAGCTCCATAGATATTTTCGCGGAAAGTGAGATCTCCTACAGTGACATTGGTTTGCATCATCTGAGAGAAGTTATGTCTATCATTACCTTGGTAAGAGATGGGGGTTGTATCGAATAGTAGTCTATCGTGCGGGGGCACGGCCAGTCAGAGGTCGCGTAATATAAGCAAATCTTATGGAAGAGGGGAAATAACTCAAGGAACAAGTGGTGGCTGGAGAATGCCATTGAAAGAGGGATGTTGCATTTGTTCCTAACACTGGCGTCTGATCCTGGCATATTGGCACATGATTCGAGGCTGAACTAGACCAAGATACCCAACCTGCTACCCCAATAGCGTGGACGAGGTTAGCTGCCTAGGTAGCGTCTTGCACGAGCCAACCATGGTTCAGATAATCATAAGCTCGAGGCTCGATTATGGCGGTAAATAAGCGGACTCTCTCGTATGATGAGGGGGGGGCTGCTGCACTGGAGTGGAGACAAAAACAAGGTGAGGGTCGACAGGTTCATGGATCGACTTCGGACATACGTAAGTAGTACTAGGTACTCGAAAGAGAATTACCACACGATCAAAGGAGCAAGGTACCCACAAGTACACAGCAGCACTAGTAGTCGAGGCAAGCGCTGGAAAATGAGTAAGACCAAAACCGCGATCGGCCAGCCGAAGCTTCGGGCAAATCAGTTCATAGTTATAGTCATCCAGTTTTAGCCTTGGCCAGTGTCGACCCACGCATTCAGATATCTCTTCGTCAAATGAAAATAAAAGTGCACAGGACCTAGGCCAAGTAATGGAGAAAGTAAGATCGTCCAGAGTGGACTCCAATTCAGACAAATGATCCCTGTTCACGTCCGAGTCCCAAAGGAGGGGGATTTTGCGGCGGGGTAACCGTGCGGCCCATGATGTTCCCATGTCATATACGCACTACAAGGTCTGGCGATCAGATACCTCTATATGTTTCAAGTGTAAAAAAGCACGTGCTTCAAAGTCTGGCTCTGGTTATATTTACTCATTTGTTACTGGTTCAATGGTAAAAGTGTTGTGGGAGATGCCCCTCTTGATAAACTCCCTCTGATAAATTGTGTATAGACGGGCAGCACTTGGGTATTCACTCCAAGTGAGACAGTAAGTATCCACCACATTGTACTAGAGTAAGACTGCTCGATGCTTGCATGGGGCTATGAGACATCTATCGAACAGGGATACTTACACAACTTCGTATTGCTGTGGTGTGGGGGCGATGGAGGGGGGTTCCTCTTTTTATTTCCTTCTTTCCTGCGAACCGTAGATTGCTAGGGCGAAGCCGGTGCGAAGATCAGGGCAGCAGTGAGCTCTCCGAAGAAGGTAGGGCATAGAATGGTCTAAACCGAGTAGATTAGCAATCCGTGATATCTGGTAGGTCCAGACAACAGCCGAAGAAGCAAATCACATTCAGGCAGGCCCCCTTGAGACCAACTAACGTATGATCAGCCAGCAAAGATGGGCACCGCAGACTACTAGTCTTATTTCGACAGGTAGATGATCTTGGTCATTCGAATGATCATTCGGTGTAGGAAGCCCTCAGAGAGGTGAAAGTACAGTCAATTTCTGATGGAGCTTGCCGCATTCCGTACAGATTGCGATCTTGCATGCGTGTGTGGGACACCGTATCCATGCGATCACTTTCTGCTGAGGCCCGCTGACCGGCAAACCTTACTACTGATCGCCGACATGGAAATGCAGCGGGAAAGGTTTCCAATGCATGGAGTGGTCCCTGGATGTTCATTTGGGGTACGCCACCAGTCCAAGGTTTGGGGGTTAGCATGAATGTACCCCCCCAATGGTCACCGGGCGGCCTAGGGAAACAAGGAAAAAAAGAGAGATATCGTGCGACCCCCAAGAGAATGGCGGCCAATAATTTGATTCCTGGGCGGCTTCTTGACGGACAAGAGCCTATACTCGGTTATGCTGGTTTTCCAATTGTGTTGAGGGAAAGCTTATCAAGATTGGTACCTGAACAGTCTAAGCGGCCACAGGAAGTAATGTAAGTTGGGCGTCAATACAATACGGATACCGCCCTTCAGCCCAGTTTTGAAACGCCGTGAAATTTCCCGACATCGGGCGACTGCGGATCTAATCTAAGCGTCCATCATCCCACTTTTCCTGGACAATTGCACACCGGATCATGCTGCGGGGCTCCCATGGTCGGCTCTCGGGGCTCGGAGACTGAGTAGGCAGCCTGGTTTATTGCTTGCTTTCTTTGCCTTTTTCAAATCCCATTTATTAATTCAAGGGTATAGCTGGCTGAATATGCTCGGATAAATTGTCACTAAGGATGATGGTGATGGTAATTGTGGCGTGATCCTCCAACTTCCCAGGGTGCAAACGGATCTGGGGCGAGGAAAGGCAAGAAAGGGAGGGGCTACGGTTAGCACTTCGTTTACAAGTTAAACACAAGTGGCTCTTCTGGGCCTGATCAAACATCATCTTATCTCCGAGGGAACTGCCATATATGCCTGAGATTTCGACATATGGCGTTTGGATTTCTTCAGTTATACTACTAATATGTGAAGACTCACCTCCCCTTACAAGATCAACGCTGAGACACTACCAATCCCCTCTTGGATAACCTGCTTGACCAAGCTTCAGTGTCATTAATAGTCTACTTGTTATACGTACTTTTACATCGTCAACCGTCAAGAGCCTCGGTGTCCCAGCATCAAAACAATACGTAAAAAAGAGGAGCAGCAACCACGTTTCTCATGTAGCAGGTGGTGGAACCGACTGGAGGAGTGCCTATCAAATAGGCCAATGCCGGCCCGCTGTCAGAAGAAGAACCACCACCGGCTACTGCTTTTACTCGGTGGTCTGGAAAAAACCCGTCCTTACGGATCCGCTGCTTCAGAAAAAAAAAAAAAAAAAAGAAAAAAAAAGGGCTCGGCGCTGATACCCTTTTCCTTTTTTTACGGTCGTCATACTTTCTGAACATTATTAATTTTTTTTTAATCGTTTTTACTCTTTTGGTACCTTGATTTTTTTTCTAATTCTATTTTAATTTATTATTATTTTCTTTTCTCTCTTACGGCGCAAAGGTCTCCAGTGTCTACTAAGTTCGAAGCTACTGTCCTTCCCCCCCATTCTGTTTATCCACCGGGGGATATAACTACGACCATCGCTCCCCCCATTTGCCGCGGTTCTCTCCCACCTTCGTTCAGAATCCCATCATTATTGCGTCTTCCTCCCATCTTCCTGCTCCCCGAACTCTGAGCACGGAACTTCTACCTCTCCTTTCAATCACACCCTTCTTACCTCTCTTATTCTCCTACTCAGCTTGCATCAATGGAACCTGCGGTACGGAAGCCAGAAGTGAGCTTCCACGGCCAGCGCAGCATGCCCTCCAAGCAGCAGCGAGTGCCCTCGAAGCTGAAGGCCACTCCCAGGGATGAGCTTCACGACTTGCTTTGCGTGGGTTTCGGTCCTGCCTCTTTGGCGATCGCAATTGCCTTGCACGATGCCCTGGATCCTTGTCTGAACAAGTCCGCTCCTGCGCCTGGATCGCAGCCCAAGGTTTGCTTTGTCGAGCGCCAGAAGCAGTTCGCTTGGCACTCGGGCATGTTGGTCCCTGGTTCCAGGATGCAGATCTCTTTCATCAAGGATCTGGCGACCCTTCGTGATCCTCGCAGCAGCTTCACCTTCCTCAACTATTTGCACCAGAAGGATCGTCTGATCCATTTCACGAATCTGGGGACGTTCCTTCCGGCCCGCTTGGAGTTCGAAGACTATATGCGGTGGTGTGCGCAACAGTTCTCCGATGTCGTGTCTTATGGAGAGGAAGTTGTCGATGTGACACCCGGAAAGACGGACCCTACCAGCTCGGTGGTCGACTTCTTCACCGTCCGCTCTCGCAACGTTGAGACGGGTGGGATCATTGCCAGAAGAGCGCGCAAGGTGGTGACTGCACTTGGTGGCTCAGCAAAGATGCCCCCAGGCCTGCCCCAGGACCCCCGTATTATGCACTCGTCGAAGTACTGCACCAACCTGCCCCACCTGCTGAAGAACCCGAACGAACCCTACAACATTGCCGTGCTAGGAAGTGGCCAGAGTGCTGCTGAGATCTTCCACGACTTGCAAAAGAGATACCCCAACTCGAAGACAACACTGATCATGAGAGATTCGGCTATGCGGCCTAGTGACGATTCTCCTTTGTAAGTATAATACCTCTCCCACTCCCATCATGTCGCGACTAACAGCAAACAATATAGTGTGAATGAGGTCTTCAACCCCGAACGTGTCGACAAGTTCTATAACCTCTCTGCCGAAGAGCGTCAGCGTTCCCTCAAGGCCGACAAGGCTACCAACTACAGTGTGGTCCGCCTTGAACTCATTGAGGAGATCTACCACGATATGTACGTTCAGCGGGTCAAGAACCCCGACGAGAAGCAATGGCAGCACCGCATTCTCCCCGGACGCAAGATCACGCGAGTCGAACACCATGGACCTCAGAGTCGGATGCGGATCCACGTGAGGGCGACGAAGGATGGATCGGACAGCCTTGTCGGCGACGGCAAGGAGACACTGGAGGTGGATGCACTCATGGTGGCGACCGGCTACTACCGCAACGCACATGAACAGCTCTTGAGCAATGTGCAGCATCTGCGACCGGAGGGCCAGGAGGAATGGAAGCCGAGCCGGGATTACCGGGTCGAGATGGATCCCAGCAAGGTCAGCCCCTATGCTGGAATCTGGCTGCAGGGCTGTAACGAGAAGACACACGGACTGAGCGACAGTCTTCTGTCGGTGCTGGCAGCACGTGGTGGAGAGATGGTGGAGTCGATCTTTGGCGAGCAGCTTGCGGGTGCAACGGTGCCGGTCACGAAGTTGCGCGCTATGCTGTAAAGGCTTTTCGCCGCATTGGAGACCCAGGAGGGGTTCCGCTTTCTAGACGCGTGAATGATGGCGCTAGGGCGGGCATTTCTTTCTTTGCAGAAAAAGAATGCCCCGGAAAATGAGCGTGCATATCCCCAAACAGATTGGTAGGGGATGATATCTTCTTTTGCGATCATCTACTTGACTGTATCTGTGTTCAATTCTCTGTTTCATTACCTATACTTTGTTACTATTGTTACTACCCCATCATCTGATTCCCCAAGTACCCCATTGCGAGTTATATAGCCAGCCACATTGGAATTGTATAACGAATAGAGATCGGAATGCATCAAGTCTGTCCTTATTGATTAAATTTCACCGCTCATTGTGTTAAGGCAGAAGGCCATGCAAATTGCGCACGATGCTTTTTTTTTTTTTTTTTTAGCCTGCTACAGTTGTTATTCATTCTCCTCAAACTTTATCCGCCCCCCCTGACATGCGCCTGTAACCGACAGGGGGACGAGAATGAGTGCCTAGGAGGGAAAAGCGAGTGGGCTGGTCGCACAACCGCCGGTCTAGCACGGACCCGCTGACGTCAAGCGACCAGGCTAATTGGCCCTGACCAAATTAACCGCCGCCAGGAATACGCAACGAGGAAAAAACGGCGTTTCTGCACTTGAACAGACACAAGGGGAAAAAAGTGAGGGAAATTATCCCAGGAGGAGGTTCCAAGGAATTGAACACAATTGTCAATTGGACTCAGAGCAAGAGAAATTGAAGCGGGTGGACATCACTGACTCGCTGGCGCTCAACCTTGGTTGAGGGTCGGGGAGGGATTCTGATAATCTGATCAGATAAAAATTTTCGCACGTTATCTGATGGCGCCATCCCCCAACCGCATCAGCGCCCATCGCCGAGCCAGGCGCGCTGTTTTTCCGCTGCGGTTCCCGCTCTCCACGCCCATTCGCTGCCAGGGGACCACTTGGGTGGATGAAGAGACCCACTCACTGATTGATTACGATGAGGCACCATGCAGATTGATCCGTGTGGTCTCGGTTTTTTCATATCCACCCACACGCACGCACACACTAACTTACCCTCTCGCTTCGGTATACGGGTTACTCAATTAGATTGCTTTCTGGCCCCCTTTCCCCGACCATAGCTGCCACCTCATGTCTCGGTTCCCGAGGGATTTTCTCGGAATTAAACCTATACCGGTAGCATTTTAAAAACGGATCTCTCCGAAACACATCCAACGAGAAACTCCCAGTCACTTTTGATCGATCAGGTAACAGCTTGATCAGTGATTGATAAATTGTTAGCGGCCCCGCTTTTTCCCTTTCCTTCGTTCCCACATTACCAAGGCCCTAGGGACTTGGAGGTGAGGGAATAACGAAGACAACAAGGAAAATAATGAAAAATAGAAAGAAGAAAAAATCACTCTGCTGTCCGGCCCGGCTAGATAAGGAGACAACTCCGGTGTAATGGTCAGACGATGAGGAACAATTGCTGCCGTAATATTAACCTAGCTAGTAAGTAGCTATACACAGTAAGTAGTTTTCTATCTGTCTTGGGGGGTTAGCTAAGACTTAACTGGCGGAGAAGGATTCGAGTCTGGCAGTCAAGGCAATTACTTAGCCCCCCTCTCCTACTCCAGGATTCGACTTCAAACTCAACTACCTACCTACGTATTTATACACCACGCTACTTCCTACTTTCTCAATCATCTGAAAGACGATCTGTCGATGAATCTCGTATTGTTGGATAATGCAACAATTGATTTGAACAACCTTTGCTGCTACTGGCGCAAAGACAACGCGACTAGACGAGGCGAGACGAGACTAATCCCTAAGCAGTACACGCGGAACCATGCGACATGGAAACCGGAACGGGCGCCTGGAACAGTCGACTCCTTAGACATGCGCCGATCCCCATTCAGGTCTGGGCCAGTGGCATGTCCACAGTTGTTGTTGTTATTATTATTATTATAATGGTAATAATAATAGTCGTCAATTATTATTCACCTTCCTCCGCCAATCGTAAAAAATTGTCTGAAGGTTGGTAGCCTCCTGTCCCTAACAACACAGTATTCGGCTGCAGCCTGCTCAGAAAATAGTAAGTAGGCAGCTGAAATTACTTACTTATCCTGGACAGGCAGGCAGACAGGCCTTTACCAGCTTACCAACTAGTCAGCACCAAAATGTTCAAATTCAAGTAGTCTCGCCGTTTCCGCGAACTCCGGAGCCTCTTTTCCCTTCTCACCCCACCCGTACGTATATCACGAGAAGGAGAGAGAAAAACATCCGTATCAGGTCTAGTATGTTTGTCACAGAATTTCCACCTGAATTAATTAGATAGGAATTCCGAGCTTGGATGCATTTCTAGCTAGTTAGCTAGCTAGATATGAACTTCGGATGTACTTACTACCATGTAAACTAGCATGCTTGTGCTGTGTGACCCGATCAGACGGTCCACGCTTGTGGAAAGGCCGGCTATGCCAGGTACCGGCGACCGGTGTTCCATCTTCCAGGGTCCTGTTCTTCTTCCCCCCCATTTAGATACTACTAGTTGTGTCAGGAGGGCGAAGATCGAACGATCTGCAATCCCAGTCTGCAATCTGCAACCCAACAAAAAGCACACGAGTTTATTTGGAATATCATCCGTGGGATGTCGAGAGATCAGCAAGGTCGGAAACAATGAATAGAAAAAGGGAAGAAAAAAAAAGGTACAAGACCCTGATCATCTGATGCATGGATTTATATTCTACATACTAAGAAGCAGAAAACTTAGTCGTTAATAATACAGACGCATGTTCACCATATAATACGTAACGAACAAAAACAACCAACAAAATTGGAGTCAACAATCACTGTAGCCTATATACATACCCCCTGCATAAAAGCGAATAAGAAACAAACATCAAACCCATCCTCAACCACCTCACCACCTTGCCCTAATCAATCAGCCCAACACCTACCGTTCCATGGATCCATGGTTTCTTCAATTCATTATCAGATGGAAATAAAAAACCATACAGCCCACTTGCTTTGACGAAGCGGTGGCCTGACCGCTTCAATCAGATAATAATATATTGGATCCGTGATCCATGGATCATATCACATATTAATTCGTAACTTGGTGCCACTAAAACTCTTTCTATTCAACTAACTAAGAGAACCCAGCTTCAGGTCGTGACGAAGAGTGGTCCCGGGGACATTTGTACCATAATATACCCAATGAAATTGAAAAGTCCGGGATTGCAAGCGTGTGTGTGTGGAAGCTAGACAGACAGACCCACCGCACAGGCTTGCGGTTACTTACGAGGGAAGTTAGGTAGGTGGTTGTCTGCCTAGATGGAATTTCTGGACTTGGGCTAGATCTAGGTATCGATGTAGATAGAAACATACTTGATTAATCTACCTACGGAGAAAAGAAAAGGCAGAAAGAAGACATACACCCCACGACTCAAAAAACGGCTCTGGGAGCACAAAAGTCTGGAAGTCAAAAAGGGCACCTACCTTCGTCCAGCAAAAATACAATCAAATCAATCAATCAAACCGCTCCTGCCGAGATAAGATCTTAGCGTGACAATTTGACTTTTGGTCTAAGGTTTTAAAGCCACAACCAGACGAAAAATAGGTTGGTTTCAGACCAATCATTCCCATTCCCCTTACTCCAAAGTGAAAACAGTTTCTCCAAGGTTTTAACACGGAAGAAAAACGAAGAATACATACATAACATGCATAGATGCATGTATACTCTGTAATTTTTATTATTGCGACATCGGCTTTTTCGGCTTCAGAAGCTTGGTTTCGTATGGGGCGCGGGTGTGGAGATTATCTTCGTATGTATGAATCTTGTATAGACGCTGTATGTACGTTAACTTACTTACGGTCAATTAACCTCATCCTGATCTCCACTGACTATTATTACAGCCTTTCTCTCTTTCTCTTTCTCTCTCTCTCTCTCTCTCTCTCTCTCTCTCTCTGTGTGTGTTTTTATCCACTCCTTCAGTTCTTGAACTCAGTGCATTGTGCTATTATGGGCTACAAGTTCCTTGGGTTTCCTTATACCATTCCCTGTCAGCTCGAAAAGCACCCTCTAGCTTCATAGCAAGGTGATGATTACACCCACTTCTTTTTCTCCGGTTGGATAGATTAGCCTGCAATGTATGCTATTCAGTAATCTGCCAGGTTATATTTGGTCTAAAGTAAAAATATCTACTAATATGTCATGATCTTTATATGCAGAAGATAATACATGAAGATAATGTGAGGGCATGAAGGGTCAAAACCCCAACCATGACCATCTATTCCAGTCAAACATATCATCAGAAGGAAGGGCTCATCCGGTACTCATTAGATCGCGTATAGAAGATCGAAAGATCTCCTCGGAAGTTATTGGTCGTCTGAAGGGCATATTGAGAACCCTAAATGGTCAGTCAATCGAAGACACAAGAACGCATCTATGCATTCCGTTCCGGGTCCTCGTCTGCCAGGCTCCGATATCTTCCGCCGCTGTGCATACGTGACGGCATCTCGTACATCTGGTTGTAGTTGATTGGTTCACCACCGAGCATGCCAGATCCCGCCTCCCGCTGTCCAAAGTATGGAGCCGGATCGCACCAGAAGTCCCGGCAGTTGGTGACTACACCTCGAGAGAAGGGATTCTTCGCCCGAGAAGCACGTGGACCATCTCGCAACCCATCCCTTGCTGTCGCAAAGAAGGCATCAATGCCGAGAAGGGAAGTCCACTGCTTCAGACAACCGCCCCTCCGGTGCCGGTGGCCATGGGCAAGAGCTGGATTCGGTCCCTGGCCAGCAGAGGAAAGGCCAGCAGCATCGAGTGAGGTAGTTCCTGCAGCCAAAGCCGAAGCAAAAGCACGAGAGCTTGGGTAGCTTCTGTCAATCGAATGGCCCCTCATGTTTTCGTATGTCGTCTGATTCCGCGAAATTTGGACAAGCTGAACAGCACAGAGCATAGTAACCCAGACCAGCTGAATGATAACCCACACATCAAGGACGAGGGTGAATGTATCACGAAGTACAAAATCGCACAGCGCATCGTTAATGACATTACAGGTAGCATTGACGGGTGCTGGCAAGACATTGATGTCTGTACTAGCCGTTAGTCTTTGATCCGGAGAAGAAGAGGAGGAGTTGATACTTACAGGAGTATGTCAGCTGCACGAAAAGAATTATACCCGCTTCAAGACACGTGATGTATAATACAAAATGGCGCAGATTGTTGGCGCCTACGCAGTTATCAATCCACGGGCAGTGACTATTCAGGATGTCAATGTTTGAGCTTGTAACTCCAGTCTTAATTAGAGTCTTACTGGTCATGTTTTGCAACGCAGCGCCCGCAGCGCTTGCAATGCTTGCTCCGTAAAGGCTTTCGAATCATGCACGCAACGCAGAAGTTCTCTTCGTCGAATTTCCACTGCTCGAAAAGTTCTGCAATAACTGTTCGCTGCTGGTTTCTGCTGCCAAGTTTGGGGACAAACCCAGGATCTTCAATCATCGCGGTAAAATAGAAATATGTTGTCGCTGAGAAGAACAGAGCAAAACAGATATTCGATATGGGATTTGTGGTATATGTGGCTGGCAGTAAAGTGACTATTAGTAAACTCTTGGCTGGGGCTTCGCATAATCCCCTTGGAAATCGGATTCAAAACATATATGAAGAGCAGGGAAAGCCCTCACCTGGCAGCACGTAGAAGATGTATCTCACACCAACCCAGAACAAAGAGCCTGCAAAAACGCCCGACAGGTAAGGCTGGGTTGCGGATCAGTGACGAACAGAGAGAGAAGATGCAAGGGGTAAGCGCTGACGTACCGTCTTTTGCAGTATCCTATACTCTGAAATGCTTTGACTGGCCACTTTCTGGGCCAACCATTGAAGTCCATAAGCTGTTGCGATCATAATAGGGATAGCAGCGAACACAACCAAGTTACTGAGAACCCAGACGGCTACGAAAATCATCAAGAAAGGCCACAAGAAGAAAAACTTAGACATGGTGCTCTTGTTCCGCACCCAAGGCGTCAATCCGAAGGGAAGAACCTTCGTGTTCCCATCGAAGTCATAGCCACACTCGTCCAGAGCACGATACCACACACGCGTGGTATTCATTTCGCCCGCTACCGTCGCTGGGGTCTTACCATCCCTGGTCTTCGCGAACCTATCAGCGCCATATTCAATGAGCTTCTGAACGCAAGGCAACGATCCCTTGACCAGAGCCCAGTGTAAGGGAGTTAAGCCGCTGTCGTCAACGGCATTGGCATTAGCGCCCCAGCGCAGGAATAGGTCCACGCAGGCGGGGAATCCCTTATATGCCGCCCACATCAGCCCTGTATGACCTTGTTGATCGGGAACGTCCACCGGGATCTCCTGGTGAAGTAAAAGCACAAGCAGAAAGGCATTCCCGTCGATAGTAGCTAGGTGTAGGATGTTGTAGCCTTGGACGTCGGTAAGAAGAGGGTCCGCGCCGTGCTGAAGCAAAAGATGCACAATATAATAGTGGCAACGTTGAGCTGCCCACATCGCGGGTGTAGCAACAGATTCGCCTCCCTTCGCATTGACGTCGGCGCCAGAGTCTAGTAGGAACTTGCACATGGCATATTGGTTGTTGATGGCGGCCCACTAGAAGAGGAATGTAGCATTGTTAGTTCGGACTCAATACAAAAGACAAGTGCGAAAGACATATCGGTAACACGCACATGTAACGGGGTGATTCCTTCTTCGTCCTTATAGTTGGGGTGGGACTTCTTCTCATCAAACATTTTCTGCATTACTGCGATCTCTCCTATACGGGCAATCTGCATGACATCTTCACCAATGGGGATCGAGCCCTTGACACCACCGCGTTCCGGTTTCATGTCTTTTAGTTCAACGGTCGCATCATGCTGGGTCACTTTTGGGGGAGTGGTGGTGCCTTTGCCGCTGGGGAGAGAGTGCGGACTTTGTCCCAAACCAGCAGAGCTGCTGCTGCTCGGAGTCCCGGAAGACATTTCAAAATGATAACCGCGATTATATCAAGATTGACTCCAGCACGCGCGCAACTGTTCCTGGACTAGACAGAGAGGAAGGGGAGATAGAGAATTGCCGCCGCAAAAAAAGGGACGTGGTCGTTGAAGCGTTCGGCGGTCACGAGTCAGTTGAGTAGTCTTGCGGAGCCCAACTCAAAGGAGCATTGCGGAGTGAACAGGAATTTCTTGAAGCCGGTACTGTCGTATTCAGAAAGGCAATGGTGGCCTTCGAGGCTGTGATGAAGAAAAAGAAGACCGAAAATTAGATGGGGGCGGAAGAACAGCTGAGTGTATCAGCAATAAACCATGGCGCAGCAGGCAAGCCCCGGGGATGAGCCTCTCCCTTCCCGAAAGGCTGACGGATCGTCCTTCCACTCCGCCTTTCGCGACGTGGTCTACATTTACCCACAACTTCCCTGCGTTATTACTAATGCGAACACGAACTCCCCGACAAGAACGAGACTCTACATGGTACTCCGCAATCTTCTTACTATCATACTGTTCGAGAGCCCGGTCCTTAGAGATACAGGTACATCTTGAAGGTAGAGGGCCTAACGTACCCTGAGAACAGAACTTTCGTCCGTCAGTCAGTATAAAAATGAATTGCGCCCGACAGGCATTACTCAGCCCAGCTGTCTAGTTCACTAGTACAAAACACCAGTCGCTAACTGATGGGGCGGTTAGGCAGCCGCATTGTAATACGTGCACACAGATTGTTTCTCCAAAATCGGAAGCAAGAAAAGTCCTTCGATTTGGCGTTCTCATAGTAGATACGCAGTGGAGTATCCCAGAAATAAATGATGCTCAAGTTGAAAGGCCACAGTCCAACCATGTGCCCCACAAATCACCCCGGACCAATTTGCGGAGGACCTTTCCAGAGTCAATCAAGAACTACAAGGCCATCGCCATCCCCAAGGCGCTTGCAGGCCTCTCCAAAGCACATTCGCCTAGTGGGAGATCAAAGTGTCTATGTTCGCTCCACGAACGTATCAAGGCTAATTTCAACGGAGGGGATCCCCGCAACAGCCTATTTGTCGGAGTAATCTTACTTGGTCGACGAGCATATCTGCATCGACTCGTAGTTCGAAATCCGCAAGGAAACAGAAACTGATTTCGAGCCTCGACAGTTCGCGCTCAGTCACACCTCCAACCTTAGCAACGCGGCTATGGGGATAGCTGAGGTCTTCCAAGGACTTCATCGCCACGCGAAGTCCAGCAAGCACCAGACGATGCATATTCTTCCGGCTGACGACTATCACCCGTTCAATAGTCGCCATTTTCATGATGTACATGCTTGTAGCCAGATAAACACCTGTAGACATAGGGCAGAACTTGTGCATACGCAGCAAATACTCCTGCAGCGTGATCGGTGGCTGGCGTTTCGAAGAGAATCGTTTTGACAGCACACTCTGCTGTTTTAGGTGACGACCTGCTTCATCGTAGCTTTCTGTGGAGCGACATAACCCAGTGACCCTTATCGGCGTAGATTCCCCGCTAGATATACTGTCGCTGTGGACCAGGGGCCCGGGGACAGGAACGGCAGCTCCTCGGGAATAACCCACTTCTTCTGCTGACGATTCCACAAGCATTTCAATAGCTGTGCAGAGCAGACCCAGTGCTGCCGTAGGGGAGATCTGGAAGACATCATTTGGGTAGTTGGACCCCAATGTTGATTCATCTTCTTTCGAAGAGCGGATTGTATTAGTTGCCTCCGTAAGGCTCGCAACAGTCGACGGGCTCTCCTTGTTCATCGCGAGACCTTGTACGTTGTCGGGAAACCAAGGGTAATAATGCCACAGATGGCCCTGGACCTACAGGCGGATATTGACTTCCCCGATAGGTATCGCATGGTCGGGACACTGCCCAGCATGTAATTGATGCTGGAATATCTGCACCAGATTCGAGGCGAATCGGCTGCGTAGTCTGAGATAAAAGCCTGTAGCTAGAATTAAACACGGCGGTGCTTAATTTTCCTACTAGGGAGGAAACATCTGTGCGATCTGTCAGTGGGCGGCTATCAGTAAACATTCCTTGGGTTGCTCACTTTACCTATGTGACTGGGGTCGAGATCAGCTCACTAGCCGGTCAGTGGCAGCCGCAGACGACTTTGAAAAAAGCACCAAGAAAGGCCTGCTTGCTGAAACACTATACATAAACGGGGGAAAGGGATTGATTTCCAGGTGTACAGATTAACAGGGTGGAATGTGAAAGGCGAGGAATGGAGTTGGCCGGATATTAGTGCGCCCGATCTCAACCCAACCGTTTCTTTCGTTACCCTATCAAAACAGGCAATCGATTCTGCTTCCATGCAGAGTGTGAAATACTAGCTTCATTAAAACAAAGGAGCTCCGAATTTGCCAGCCAAGCGGCGCAAATACCCAGATACATGCGTCGCTTACGATATTCATGAGCGGTTTGCCTCCTATCAAGCAACTATGGCATTAAGGATATTTCCTAGTACCTACCACACTCCCGCAGTACAAATACGGTGGCGCAATTATCTATAGTGCCTCCAGTAGACGTGGCATTTCAACAGCAGGCGCGCACAGCGTATCTTCATGTTCAGGCCGCTCAGGACTCAATCGTCCACGGCCTTCGAACCCCACATCTCCACAAATTTCTCCTGCCCTCTATCTCTTCTATGAACCACGCTCATGTCGAGTCCCTCAAGCCCCTTCTGAACACTCTTCAAATCGTCTTCGAGATTACAGAGCTTCCTCTGGTGGTCCAGATTTGCAAGTGAGGTCTCGAATTCAGAATCGGCGTGCAAAGAAGTGGAGAGAAGCTGGATCGCCCGGTCTGTCGGGAGTAACTCAGCCATGAGCGGCGAGTCTGCGGCAATACCATGGTCATTTAGGCTCTCAGTCAACTGATATCGTTTCTCCTTTAGATTATCTGCGCATTCACTGGCTTCGTCTGCATGGAGCACCGAATCCAAAGATAATCCTACTCGGCGTAACACTTTCGCTATTGATTGAGAATCATGGAGCCGATTGTCTTTTTGTGCTGAAGTAAAAACCGAAATGGGCTGTACAGAGGAACGTCTCAAAGACTCTCTCCTGTTAACAGGCGGGCTCAAAAAGATATCGCCAATCTCTGATCGGTGCGCAGCAGCGATAGCTTCCAGAGTTCCACAGTAAGACTCCCTGTCCTGCAGGCACTTGACAAGGCCATTTGTAGACGATGTCATCTCCGATACTACGTCCAAAACCTGGACGGTGTCAGTGTGGCATATTGATGGGGAGGGGAAAACCCGTCTCTTACATAGTCCAGCGTTTCATGTGAGGCATTTTGCAGCTCCTCGTGGTGACTGCTTAACTCGCCTATTATAGGTTCGGCGAACTGTTGTTTCGTGGACATCTCAGCTAGTATTTCGATTTCGGGATAGAGGGATTCAAGTTCTTCCTCCAGCGCAGCCAATGGCTCATTTTCAGCGGGTGCTGGCTCAGTTCGCGCTATCATTAGTCCTGCCTGTATCGATTCCAGATATAACCGATCGAGTCGACACCTGATCTCATCGGCAAGGCATTGAGCAAGGGCAGTACATCTCTCCAAAGCTATCTTTGCACTGTTCTCTTCTTGTTGACTCGTTTCTATCCCGGATGCTAGCCTCTCCAGGTTCGCGATC